TTGAAGGTGCTGAGAATGTGACCTATTCAAATAATTTTGACTTCACAATTTTATGTAAATAACTGAGTCCATCTGTGTTTATACGTCCATGTTAAAAACCATAATGCTAAACAAGTTAGAAGCATTCGAATTGTGGTGCTATAGACGAATCCTAAAGATATCGTGGGTTTCACACACTTCCAATGAAGATGTTCTTCAAATGATCAATTCAGAACGTCTGCTCATAAACACCATAAAGAGGAGAAAAACATAATACTTCGGCCATATAATTAGAGGACCTAAATACCATCTACCATCTACCAAGTGGAAGGAAAGAGATGGATTGGTTGAAAGAAACTTTCATAGCTGCGTAATGTTAGACAATGGTGTGGTTCCACATTAGAAGAATTATTTCGCGCAGCAGCCGACAGAGAAAGGTTTCAGGAAATTGTAAACATGATGTCGGCCAACACGTCTGAATACGGACACGGCACCCGAAGAAGAAGAACGTGCTACGAACATAAAAGAGCAGTATATGTCCTGTTCTTCGACTTTAATTAAGCAAGCCTACGATAGGGTAAAGAGAACAGATGTACGAACGTAAAATGTAAAATCGTCAGGATGGTAAAAATGCATAAAAATGACTATGAATAACACAACAAACGAAATAGCATGGAAAGGTCATAAATCAAACAATTTTGAAACAAAGGAAGGATTACGACAAGGAGACTCACTATCAACAACTCTTTTTAATCTGATACTGGAAGGAATAATCAGAAAAAGCAAAATAAATATGCAGGAACCAATCTTTAAAAGTGGCCATCAATGTATAGCATTTGCAGACCATCTAACACTAATAATAACAAATTAGGAAATAACTAACACGATTAATGAACAAAATAATAAAAGATGCAAAACAATTTGGGCTTAATAAAACAAGGAAAAGACAAAATACATGATAATGAGAGAAACAGATAAAAAAAATTTCACATTGGAGATAGATGGAGAAAATATATGGCATTATCAAAAGAGCTTCAGAATACACTACTTACCTGGGTGTAAAGCTTGGTGAAAAGGGGACATGGGGAAGGAGAAATAAAAGCAAGAATAGTAAAAGGAAACAAAAAGTATGGAGCATTACGATCATTAATGAAATCCCGATATGTCTCAAGAAAAAAAATTAGGATATATAAAACAGTTACGAGTATCAGGCCTACAGCTACATATGCATGCGAAACGTGGGTGCTTAAAAAATCAGAAATAGACCTTTTAGAAAGATGGGAGAGGAAAATATAAATACGGAAGTGTGAAAATAGATGGTCAATTCAGAGAATTAGATATTTAGGAGACATTGAAAGAATGGGATGGGAAAGAATGCCAAAAATGGTACTATCACGAAAGTCAATACAAAAAAGAAGAGAGAAAGTAATATGAAGACTTACACAAAAGTAATATTCAGAATTGGAAAGAAAAAGCATTGGACATAAATCAATGGAAGGAAGCGGTAAAGAAAGGTATGGAAAGACTAAGAAATTTTAAATGTATTTTATCGAAATAAATGTAAATAGTAATTGTAATAGAAAAATATAAATTTTTCAGCCCTATATAATAAAAAGGTGATCCTCATGAAAATTTTTGCTACGTGACTTATCAGAGATATTGTTCTGTGATCATCACATTTTCTTACCTTATGCTTCTTGGTTAGTGGTATATACGTGGTTGTGAGCTAGTCTTGAGGTAGTGACCTACCTCATATACACGATTACCTCATATACACGATTAAAGAAGCGTGTCAGATATTCGCTTGCAACAGGACTTAAGTTTTTGAAGTGTTCAGCCACCTTTTACGTCTTCACCTGATGCCTTCTGTACTTTTATTTGTTATGACACCTTTGAGGGGAGAATTGCGATTTCGCAATATATATCGTATATACGTAGCGTATATCAACTGGGGACTTTATTAAAAAGGATAAAAGGGTTAGTGCAACAGAAATGAATGACAAGAGAAACATTTCAAAATCATGGACGATTTTTTAGAACATAGTACTATATTCAGCTAGATCTTGCGATTATTTCGTATATTTACATATTAAATTTTTTATTTTTTCTACGCTAATTCATACTCTATACTTCTTCTTCCAATAACGATGCAGTCCTAAATGAGTCTTGGTTTCCTATAATTTGTGTCTCCAATATAAGGCGTTCGCCTTTACTTTCTGTCGTTCAGCAAATCGTGCGCGTCCATTGCTGCAGTATTCTTCTATATGTTTCGTGACTTCCCTTTTAGAAGTTGCGTTAAATTTTATTATCTAGGGCTCTTCTCATCTCTCGTCTGTCATAATCCTCCATAATAAAATATTTGAAAATACCTACAAAAATTGCGAAGAAGCAGAAAAGAAATCTTTATTTCAGAAAAATTTGACTAAATCGTTTTATAATGAGCTAACGCACTAGTAGGTAAATTTTAGATTTTAAATGGTCATTTTCGCAGAAGCTACATGTTGCTGTGTTCAATTTGCCAGTCCAGTGATTATTCTGAGTTCGTTCTTCTAAAGCACCAAGAGTATTTTCGCGTAGCGAGCAAAAGGTAAGAATAACCTTTTTGCTTACCTTTGACCTGGAATATTTTTCCAGTAGGCTACACTAAGTTCCCTTTCCTATTTTCGGACATCCTCGACTATATGGGTTTTTGGTATATCGCAGAATAGCTCTGTTCCTATAAAAGGAGTATCTGCTCCTTCTTTAGCAAGACTGTCAACAATCTCAGTACTAACGACCCCTTAATGTCCCGAGACCCACAGCAAAGTTATTTTTGTTGCGCCCTATCAGTTTTTTAGGGATTGTTTGTAGTTTTAAGTTGCATTGTCCAAAGCCCTCAGTAAAGATTAAGCTTGGTTTGCAGATATAATGTCTGTGGATATCATCACGGATTGCGTTGTCATAACTCTTAAAATTTTAGATATAATTAATCTTTCACTATAGGGCCATCTACTTTAGATGACAGAAACTAGACACCAATATGTGGCCCTGAAATTTTAAAATTGGAGAAATTTCTTTACGGAAGATAAGCAATATTTTAGCGATTTCTACGTATTTCAGAGACAAACAGAGGTGTTGCTACATAACGATATTATTCTGTCGAGTTAGAATGATGCTTCTCTCTCTCCTAGTCTGACGCAGTCTAATGTACTTCAGTAAAGACGATACACGTCAAAGCGTGAGCGTAGACAAACTTTTAGACATAAAATATAGGTATCCATTCCTTGGCCATTTTCTAACATTTTAGATGGTTAGAACTATCAATCAATCTCAGTACCAACGACCCATTACTATCACAGCCAACCTCGTCAATAACCGAGATATGTAGGCGTTAAGAGAGTATCGCTCAACTGTTAAAAGTATCACCAGTGTTAGTTATCACATGACTAGAAATTTGGGTTTGTTGCTTAAAATTATTTATATCAAATTAATAGTTTTTTCTTAGCTTACTCAGCTAATAAATTCTGTAAATAAACCAGTTAAACGATACCTTGTTGAACACACAGATGCTTTTAAGAAAAGCAGCAGATAGAGACGAGTTTGCAATGGTTATAGCCAACCTTTATTAGTGGAGTCCACACTAGAAGAAGAATGATACCAGTACCGCTATGTCCGCTTTAACAGACTTCTAGTTTTAAAATAGTTTTGAATTTGCTTTTGTAATTGTCTACTCTAATATTCTATGGTAAGTGTCATCTAAAATCTTCCATAATAGCTAGTGTGACACAGAAAAACAATATCTACATACCATGTATTTGATGCTTTAACACGTAGGCAGGTCGAAGAACGCTAAAATTACAACCATAGACTTTTTTTATAAAACTGTTTAGTACTAATGAGTGCTTTTTAGGATGTATAGAACTTTAAAATGCAATAAAATAATGTGAATTGAAACGAAATTTGCTATATATGAAAGATCATTTTTTGTTATTTTCATTTTGTCATGTTTTTATCATATTCGTCAGAGTCGTCGTATGTTATTCGAATAATGCGGTAAATATTCCTTTTAAGCCATCGTCGTTGTTACTCGAGTCAGGCTAACAATTTAACATATTCCTATAGCTAGAACATGATCTAGCTGTGCTCAGATATCTCAGAGATAGCACACGATTTCTGATAGAAAAACGCGAAATTAGACGCTCACCAACTTCATTAAATCCATAATAACATGCTTTGTGTGTATCAGCGTTTTATTGAAACCATGGTGTCTTAATATCAAGGAATCTATAATTATTCAGGAACCGAAAAGTATTTGATCGCGACTTTATAGCAATCAACATTGACTGTAATTTTTGTATGGACATCGTTTTTGAAGAAAGCTAATATTTGTTATTAAATTATTAGATGCTAATGAAAATTTAACACAAATAGTTTTATTTCCTACTAACCGAATTCTTTCTAGATCCTATTTCTTGTAAGTATCAAGAAATAGGATCTTTTGCTTATGTTATCTTCTTAACGATCGCTCACCTTGTCTCTAGTTTTTCACTGCCATTCTCTTACTCCTGCATTTTGTAAGTCTTCTTCAACTTCTTGCAGTCACTTTGACCTTGGTCTTCCCTTTTTTTCCTTCCAGTCCATTATATATCTCCATTATATCATCGCGTGTGTTACTGCTGTATCTCCTGCTGGCTAGATATGACCGAGCCATCTAGTTCTACATTGCTTTATTTTGATCACAATATGTTCTTTCATACTTTCTTAATATCTGCATCTGTTTTGATTGATCGAAGTATGGTTTTCATAATCTTTCTTTCCAGTCTTCTTTACATTTTTTAGTCATTGTCATTATTTTTGCTGCTTGTGATAATATTGGTCTAATGTGTTCTATATGTTAATAGCTGTCACTTAAAACAATGTTGCCAACTTAAAGTTCTGTCTGTCTTAAAACCAGTCTTAATATAAGTTTACATACATTTACACTTAATTTAATGGGTATGAACATGGCTGCGAGAGTTTTAAAGTACAAGCTTCCATTTTAGGTCACTACAGTTACATCCATACCGTGCGCAGACAAAATCATCCCGGGGGCCAAGTGATCGAGGTGAAAACGCAGATAGCTCATCGTGACTACATCAATTTATTGACACAAAAGGACAAAACTCATTTCACCATCTACAAAAGACGCAGATGCTTTATCGAGAACAATCAGTACTTCCAATTGGATATCTATCAGCAGCCAAGTCATCCGAGGTAGGTATTTATTTCGCCATATTTATTAGTATATAAGCTCATTAGTATATAAGCTATTATAGCTATTAGTATATAAGCTATTATAGCTCAAACTACCAATAGGTGTATGTTGTCAAAAAAACTTAATAGTGTATAAAAATTTTTATTAAAATGATCTGGGTACTTTCGTTACATTTATTTAGAATAAAAGACTTTTCGCATCTGACAGCCAAAATAAACATATTTCTAATTGTTTTGTATTTCTCCCAAGTTTTCACGTTTTTATATGCACTCAGTATTTTGCCTCTTTCCCTTTTCATAGTGCGTAGACTATCAGTCATCCACATTGCACACTTTTTCGAAATTTTATAGGTTACATAGAAACATTTGATCCAGTAAGCATATTATATTATATCGGTAAAGAATTTAACTTTCCCATAAACGCTCTCAATATCAAAAATATTCCTCCAAGGAAGAAACTGTAATTTTTTATTTTCTTGAAACGTTTAACAGTTTCATTATAATTTCGTTTTTTTTTAAAGGTTCTGAAACTGTTTTCCTGTGGCATGGTTAATTGAAATATATTAGATTAAACCACAATTGGCCGTAATGAAAATTGCATTTTACATTTGTTGTGATTTGATTTACAACTCGGGAGACATTAGGACGGGAGGTATATGTAGAGCAGTGAATGTAAATGTATTGTGTGCAATGAATATTAGGATGGGGATCTATGTAGAGCAGTTAAACATTGGATATTAACGCGGGAGGACGTTCGTTGGTCCTTAGCTGGTTTGGACGTTGAAAATAATGACCTGCTGGTTGGTAGTTGACGTATGACAGTTGGCGTTTGATGGATGATGTTTAAACGTCTTGACGGGAAATAAAAAGAAGACGAATTGGCAGATGCGTTCTGTCCAGGCTTGTGTTGTGAGAGTGGGAGTGGTGGGGAATATCCCAAACGATCCATATCCCGTTTCTGCCCAGAACATTTACAGCGTGCAGTTGAATGTTCTCTTGCATTAACCATGAAATAAAATCTGTTTTACTGGATTTTTTAGACCTTTTTCAAAAGAAAATCTAGTTTGGTGCACAAGAATAACGAAAGAAGGAAGAATACGTTATATACTATAGCATGTTACATCAAAACTAAAGTCAGTGTACGCCATTGAAATGCTGAAATAATTAAACAACAAACAAAACAACAATTAAAATAATTTTTTCAATATTACAATTTTTTATTCAATAAACTGTATCTTCATAGCTAAAATAATTAACAAAATAAATATTCAAAGTTTTCTACATTAATCTACACTACATTAATCTACAATATATACACAGTATCGTATCCTAAATAATATTTGGCTTTCACAAACATCTTTTACAAAAGAAACAGACATATTTCCATCTTACATTTTTTTAAAATATGTTCAGAATCATAGTAGTGAATATCATTATGTACATCTATAAATTTAGCCTATCACAGGCTATGAATATCTTTTTCTCGAATTCAACAATTGTTGGGAACACTCCATGGAGGAAAAAGTAAAGATTGAGACATTGAGAAAAGAAGAAAGCAAGAGATCAACATTCATCAAAATAAAAAGATTTTCAGTTTGTTGTAATAAACCTATGATATTAATAACAAAAATGTAGAATTGTCAAATAAAACTCAATCTATAACTAGCATTTCATGAACTCATGGATATAGCTGAAACAAGTAATACTAACACAAAACCAACTGCTTTTGCAATAATAATCCGTCCTTCTTGTAAGCAAACACAAAAAGAAAATGAAAGAAAATTTTACAAACCAAAAAATTATTCAACAAAAACATCAATTACCAAAACTTCAACATAAGAGACTGACTTTGTGTCACTAACGAATCACATAAAAGAACTATTTGACGATAAAACTCAAATCCCTACATTTGACCAGCTAGTAGATTTCTTTAACCAATAACAAGGTCCAAAGATCCATTTTTAAAAACTGTGTGACGAAACTTTGTTCAGGTCTTCAGAGGAATATTTATCTTCTCTATAAATAAACGTACCTATAATACACTTAAAATTGAATTGCAAAAAGTCTATATTTCTTTTTCAAAATATCTGCGGTATCAAGATGACCTTGTGACGTTGCTAGAGCAAATGGACTAGGAAACACGTTTGTAGATGCATGTTTCTTCAACAACCATATGACAAGAGGAGTTTGTCCAAAGAAGGCTGTCATTTGTAGAGGTGTTAAACCTTTGTCATTAGGTTCGTCTATGTTGGCTCCGGCATAATATAGTTCTCGAATACAGGAAGCATTTCGAGAATGAGGGTATGCTATGCACTGGATGACAGCTAAGTAGAATGCAGATTCGTGGTACTTGGACTTCAGAGTTACATCTGCACCTAATAAAACATGCACATTAAAATCATAAAAATATTTATATTTTTACAAAAATTTAACAAAAATAGAATATTGTAATTATAACACATATACTAAAAATCAAATATTAAAATAAATTAATTTAATAAATTAAACAAAATAAATTACATTAAATTTTCCTGAAAATCTTATTAAAATGAAATTAATACTCCAAGTTAGAGGTCACTAATCTTCGATCCCAGAACATACTAAGTCAAAGATTGCTTAAATTTTATAGATTTTATATCCACCAGATCATAAGATTGATAAAGTCATTATCATAATAATAAGAGAAATTTTCATAGTTTTTGTGATAGTATTTTATAAAAAACAAAGGCATGTTTCTAAGAATTGTAGTACATCTAAAGCTGATAAGACTTAATAAATCAGAACAATCAGTGGTATGGTCAAGTAGTTTATAGAGAAATCTGATCGCTTTTCGACAGTGTCCACGTCTCTGATCCATATACAAGGACCGGTTTTATCAGGGTCTTGTATATTTTGCATTTGGTTTTTCTTGTGATGTTGTTAGATCTTAGATGCTTAATTAGTCCATTATATGTTTTATGCGATATGTATTCTTCTCTTAACTTCTTCACTGATATTGTTATATGCAGTAACTAGTGAACCTAGATATGTAAAACTTTTCACGCTTTCAATGTTATAGTCTCGTATTGTCATATTCTGTAGGTTTCTTTGGCCTGTCGATTTACTGGCCTTCATGTATTTGGTTTTTATTTCGTTAATGTTTAGGCCACTGTTTTGTGCTGCTCTTTCTATCGCATTAAATGCTTCTATCATCTCTCTTTCTCTTCTAGCTATGATATCATCATCTGCAAATGCCAATATTTGTACACTTTTTGTTATTATTGTTCCTCTGGTGTTAACTTTTGACTCTCAAATTATTTTCTCTAATGTGATGTTGAATAGAATACAGGATAGGGCATCTCCCTGTCGTAGGCCCGTTCTCACATGTATTGTAGCATTTTAAAGTAATTACTATTTAAATGGGAATAAGCCACAATTAAAGGTTAAAGTAAGTTTTCAATTCCCACTTCGGAAATCATTCTCGATATCTGAAGTGGAAATTGAAACGTCAATAAACTTACTTTAACCTTGACTTGTGGCTTATTCCCATTTAAATAGTAATTAAGACTGGATGCTACACATGAAAGTAAGATATCAAATTCTATATGTTGGTACTGAAACATATCGATAGTTTCTTGTGATAAAATCTAGATTGCAGTATGCTTTATTTGACAAATTGTTAATGACATGGATAAATTACAAGTAACTGTCAAATAACACACCCAAATCTCTTATTTGTCACTTTTGAGAGAAGGCTTGTATAGTTATGATAGTAAAGCTGATAGTCAAACAGAACATTATATTGTTTTTAAATTTATTAAAGGATATAACAAAACACATCTGTATTCGACTGGAGACCATTGAAAAAAAAAACAATAATTATATAGTGAAGTCAGGTCTTCTTGAATCCTTAGACAGGTAGATAGGTTTGAAACTTAGTATAGCTTAAGATCATCAGCAAATAAATAACAAAAATTTGAAAAAAATAATGAACCCTGTATAAAAACAAACTGAACTCTTTGATTAAGATAACTAGTTAAGCATGAAAGAAACCACTCAGGAAAGCCAATACATCTTAAATTTAAAGATGAGCAAAGAATAGATTAGTGTGTCAAAGGCCTTCAAGAAATTGGTATAAATTTAGTCCATTTGGTACCCACCCTCGAAAGTCCTGACAATGTGGTAATGATACACAACAAGATTTGTAGACAATAATTTACCCTGCCAGTGGCGCACCCAGGGGTTCCCCTACCCCCAGCAACCTATTCCGTTATTCACAAATTGTAAGGACTTAAAATGGTGGAGGTAGCATAAAAAAATTTCGATGCCCAACCAAACCCCCCCCCCCAGAGGAAAATTCTAGGTGCGCTACTGTACCCTGCCTAAATCCATGTTGTTCATTAATCAATAGTTTTCTACAATGCCAAATGAGATATTTGTTTAGAATTAGTTCAAAAAGTTTAGGTATGACAGATAAAATAACAGGCCTTTTTTTACATTGTCTCTGTCACTGTTTTTAAATACCTGAATTATATAACTGCGACCGATAGTCACCACCAAATTATTGTAGAATTTATTATCGGCATGTCATATTTATTATCTGCGTGTATTTGATGGGACTACTAACAAAAGCAGGTAGCAGATATAACCATAAATAAATAGTCATTTGTTTTGGTCTATTTGTTTATGGTAGATATACTTCATTCGCTTAGCTCGGGCATATTTTAACAGATTCATTGTCGGAAACCTACAACACAAAAATTCCTACTTCTCAGTATTAATAGCTCAAATATACTACTATTGCAGACTTCTTCCTTAAAAAAAGAAGAATTATTTCAAATAGTAAAAGTGTATACTAAACCCATAAAATTTTCCCTTTATATTTAAAATATAATATTTGAGTTGTTACAATTGAACATATTGTAGTAAATATTTGTATTATTCGCGTTGTTTATTTTAGATAATATAGTTTTACTGTTTCATTATTTTTGTTTAATTCTTTGTTAGTTCTATTTAGTTAATTAGTTAGTTCTATTTTGAATTTTATTATTAGAGGTAGTCAAAGTTTTCCATTTGTTCTATCAGATAATGCGTTGGTAAGTTTTTCTTAAATAAACATAAATATGATAAATGCTCTTTAAAAGTTAATATTTTTAGATGAGTAGGGATGCTGTTAAATTACGAGGTAATCAAACTGTACAAAGATTTATTCAAAACACCAACCATTTTTGTTTAATTATTTGCCCATTCGGCGTAGGTGGATCATTAAAATATATTTATAAAATTATGTAAATATATTCTTAATAACAAAAACATATCAGTTAACATCTAGTTCAGTTTGACATGGCGTCAAAAATTAATAAAAGTTACAGTAATTTAGTTTATATCGTTAAGTTGCTCCAAATGTAGGGAACCAACTTAAACTTTTTGTTAGGATTTAGCTGGAGTTTCTTGAGAATATTTTTAATAAACATTTATTATGTTCCAGTTAATTTATTATTTTTTAAAAGTGATAATAATAATGCTGGATAAGCAATATTTCAAATGATATTTAATCACAAAACGTACTTAATATTGTGTTATTGTAAAATCCTCATAATAAAGTACGTTAGATAAAAAAGGTAAAATCCCGGGTCGTCCAAAACTAGTTTCTAACTAGCTCTTTCTAGATTAGATATCATTTGAAATATTGCTTATTCAGCATTATTATCATCACTTTTAAAAGAATAATACATTAACTGGAAAATATTAAATGCTTATTAAAAATATTCTCAAGAAACTCCAGCTAAATGCTAACAAAATTCTTAAGTTGGTTGCCTACAGTTGGCGCAACCTAACAATATAAACTAAATTACTGTAACTTTTTTTATAAAATTTATTTTTTAGATATAATAGATACTTACATTCTATATACATGCTATAAATTTCTAAATCATAGTATAAGTTTGCAAAAGAGGTTGACGAAATACTCTAATGAAATGCGCTACGAGCACATGTACTTGGTTGTATAATAATTTCCAGCCACTTCTAGTCTGTCACAAAGTAACTAACTTCGTAAAAACATAATTACTAAAATCACTAGACAGTTCGGACTGGCATTAGCGAACCGAGTATACCTTTTGAAACTTACTGACACCACTCAAATACAAATGACATTTTAATAAGCTTAAGATAAGGTTTTCTGCAATAATTTGTTGGCAACTATACTGAGAGAGGTTGTTTAAATCCGCTAAAATTGGGATTATGCATGTGATTTGAAATCAATTCTCCCTGGTATGTAATCTACAAAGAACCATGTGCAACTCTTGCTAGAAGATAAAATTTGGAGAGTTATCATTCAAATTTAGCTGATCAAATTTAAGTAAACTTTAATTGAAATGGATAGATTAAAAAGTAGTTTCTGAATACAAGGAAATGGTAGAGATAATATAATAAGAAGAGAGACTTAAAAAGGCAAATAATTAAAAGATGGGTATAAACAAATTGCAGGAACAGGTGAATCAAGAAGTAAACAATTTGTACACATGACATAGATACACAATATTCTGTAGAAACATGATGCTTTCTAAAAACATTCTTTAGAATTTCTCTATAGAAAAATACAGTTATCCTATTTCTTCTTACCTTTTTTCAACATTATCTTGACTAACTGTGTGTTTCCATTGGCACACGCTACTAAGAATGGTGTGTAACCACTTTTAGAAAATGCATTTACGTACTGGGGATATTTCTCCAAGTAAAAAATACATTCTATGACACTTTTGTTTGCCGCTGCAGCACATAATTTATCAATTATATCTGGTTTTCCTTGGAAATAAAAATGCAATTTTGCTAATAAATAAGTAATTATACTGGCCAATATTAGCGACATGAAAAGAATACACGTCCAATCAATTATTCTAATTAAAATCATTATTTTCAACTATTTTGATGTGCATTTCATAAGCCGAATAATAGGGAAACAACAATAACAATGTTCAAAATCAAAACAAAATAGTTAGGTTATGTTATGTCACTTCAGGGTTTGACAGATCGAGTGTATATTTTTATAGACCAGTTAATAATGTAATTTTTATTTCAAATTTAAATATAGTTTTATTAAAAATATTATTATTATTATTTAAAATTTATAGTCAATACTTCAAATTCCGTAGGATTGTTAAGTTATCGTTTAAGAAGTATTGCTACTTTGGCAGGTCTATTTTGTCTATAACAGATGATCAGCAAAAATGTATGAGAGAATTCCTATGGTGAAAAATAAATAATTAATCAGTACTTAGCCGATGCTCGAATGTGTTAAAAAATTAATCACGGACAGTTATTTGGTTTGGGAATTATTATTTGTGCATAAGAAATTTCATTAATAAAACATTTTTTTTTTTAGATGCCGAGGTATGATCCTCTTGGAAACTTATTCGGCTCTGGATGACGAGCAGTTATTAAAAACTCTACCAAGCTTCTTAAATATCAAGAAAGAAGTGACAGGAAATCCGGATTATTCCATGTTCAACTTATCACTCAGGGAAGACTGGAAAACATCTAAAAAGTTCTGCAGATCAGTTACAGGTTGGTAATGTCTTCATATCATCATTATCATAGCATTTGTACTACATTATAGTTCTTTTGGCGATCAGGAAATAAAAATTGATACATTAAATAACTTATTTATTTCCAGATTCGGATTTTTCGAAATTATCAACTTCTGAAAACCATGAAGCTACTATGAAACAGCTATACAACAACGTGAATCATGGTAATCTCAATGGAAAACCGATGAACGGAAAAGCTTAAGTGTGATTTTATTCTATTAAGTTTTAGGTACTTAGTATTTTTACCATATCTGATCATTTTGTAATATTTTTGTTTACTTAATACTATTTCGTTTGTCTATTTTGCGGAATTTGCAGAAGGAAATGAAAATGAATGTAAGTTAGCTGCATATTTGCATGATCAGCTGCGTATTCTTGTCAGTTTTATAGGATAGAGGAGAAACTATTGAAAGTTCTTCAAACATTTGTATTTGTTTGACGCGTGGATATTATCAAGTACTTATTTCATACTGTTTCTTTCTATGAAGTAGAAAGTAAAACTTTAAACGATCTCTCCTGCCATCCGTCAGTCTCTTAAAGGCCAGTTAAAAACGATGTTTGCAATGATGTGTAAGCAAAATATGTGGCTTTTTTGAGGATATGCGGAAGATGGGGATAGATTAATTTTTCATAAAAGTAAATCTTCCAAAATAGACTAACGAGTCATGAATATTTTAATATTTTCTCTGATAACTCTTTACGTTGTGTTAGTAATATTTTGATTTTGAGATAAAAATCTGAAGAGTTTAATGGACGTTAAAAATTAATTTCGCTGCAAAAGTGTAAAATCAGTATTTTAAATTATTTTTCTTGTTTACTTTTTTAATTTTAGTTTGAGATGTACCTGCTTGAAAAGAAAATCTTAATATTGTCAACATTACACCATAGTGGAGTAAGTCATATTTTTTGGAACGTTTAGATAATTAAAGGTCTTTGTCGGTAGAGGAACTGGTTTCAAACAGCTGCTACTTGACGAAAAAAAAAAACAACTAAAAAAGTATTAATATCGATATATCAAATGACGTAGGTGGTATATCGATATTGATCGATATATTATTCCTGGTCTGTGAATTTCGGTTTTGTATTTTATTACTTTACATACACTACTACATACATTTTTTCATAACTTTTCCTTTTGCTTTCTTTATGGTGTGAAAAAGTAATTTTCTTCCCTTAATTTCACAAGGACAAATTTTTTTGAATTTATATCGTAAAAAGTTACTTTTCAATCTGGAATCCGAAACGTCGAATAAACAATATTATTGTTTAATTGTTGTCTATTCTCAAAGAGATATTTTACATCAAAGGTTCACAAGAAAAAAATTTCATAATATAGGAAAGTTGTTGATCCTAGTCCTAAGATACTTTCGTTTCTTTTTGTGTACCTATCATCCGCTAAATTGTGATAAAATTGTTTTGTAAAAGGACACATTTTTTGAATTTATATCGTAAAAAGTTACTTTTCAATCTGGAATCCGAAACGTCGAATAAACAATATTATTGTTTAATTGTCGTCTATTCTCAAAGAGATATTTTACATCAAAGGTTCACAAGAAAAAAAATTTCATAATATAGGAAAGTTGTTGATCCTAGTCCTAAGATACTTTCGTTTCTTTTTGTGTGCCTATCATCCGCTAAATTGTGATAAAATTGTTTTGTAAACAGTTTTAAACAAATTAAACAGTTACTGAGTGGTTGAGTGGAAGGTCCAGAAGAAGCTGAATTAAAGAAAGAGGATCCCCGATAAGAATTTCTTAGTGAGAAAAGGTTTTTCATTTTCGATTTCGCGGTTTCTAAAGATGTTTAAACGTAAACCCCCTCATAATAGTAGCAGCACTAACCAGTTGTTCTGTGGATGAACTTGCCCTAATTAAAAGTTCTTTGGTTACTTATTAGATGATCTATTATAAAAGAGTAGTTAAATAATAGTGTGATACTTATTTTTGGATAATATTGTATAGCAATCTCCACTATTCATAGACATATTTTATTATAGATGTGATTTTCATTGACTATTTTTTGTAGTAGTTGAGAACGTCTTGTAGAATCTCTTTCACCAGATTTCTTAAGTTTAAATAAAGACCTGTCCTCAGTACTTTGACTAAAACAATGTAAGATTGTTTGCAATAAATAGTTTTAATGGCCGTAAATAACTAAGTATGCATGAACAGTACATTCAGTGAATATAAGCTCCTTAAGAATAAAACGAGCGTTTTTAAGCGATCAGTTATTTCCACCTTAAAGGGATTGTGACTGTAGAGACATTGTGACAAAGAACAGATGTCAAACATCATAGAGTAAGTGACTTATGACACTGACAGTTAGCGTATAGTGTCAAAGTCGCTGTATTGAAAAAGAGCGTCTCTAATAACAATTATTAATTGTCTTAGTAAACATTATGTATATTATTTATGAAAGGGTTTTCAATTAAAAATCACAATATTTAATTAATTACCTTCTTAAACGTTATTCCTTCTACTTTTATGCTCTTGGTATATAGCATGAAACAAGTTGTCAGACAATGCCATACCTGCGGTATTGACAGAGTGCTTTTCTAATTGACTATTTTTAATCATTTACTTTTCAGTTATTATAGACGGCACTGGCAGTATGTAGACAATTAAATAGTTTGTTTTAAAACAAGTACTTATAATGGAAATTCAAAATATGTACTGAATTTCCTATTTAAAAGCTGCTCCGATCTGCTTTTAGGCTTATTCTTTGTGGTATAGTTGTCAAGTCGCATAGTACAGGTAACAGACAATACTGAAAATAGACAGACTATATCGTCATATGGAAGAGGGCTTGTCAACGACCAAGTGTAACTGTAAACGCAACTCGGTACTTACATAGAATACCTACCAACTATTGACCAATATCTGATCGTTTGTATATCATATAATATATATAAGTATATATATATATAATATATATATTATATATATATATATATATATATATCATATTATATTATATTATATATATATATTATATATATATATATATATATATATATAATGTTTTATCCAGGGCGCAAATCAAGGAATGTACTGTATTTATTTTTGTGCCTGTGACTTTCATCGTGGACAGGTTTAAAGTCTTTAGATTTATAAACTAGTCCTAAGATTTAATCGATGTTAGATAGACTTTTTAGCTGATTTATTTCTGTTGAAATGTTGATACGATATAAAGCAGGATTTTAATGGAGATCTGGTTAAAGCTGATGGCCTTCTGTGTCAATTTCAATACCAAACTGTACTTATCAACAGAGCACCTGTTTATAATCGAAGGTTTATATCTGTAAAAATATCTACATAATAAAGAATTGAATGGAATTGTTCGTTTTTTTTTATACTTTATAACTTTTAAGAATCTAGGGGGTAATTAAAGAATTTCACTTATTTATCTGGCGATAATTGGACTTTTTTGGAACCTTTTTGATACTGATGATAACTCCAATAATAGTTAAGACTGATTTATAAACTTTACGTTGGCGCTGACGTTCACGTTACAACATAACATAAAAAAAACTAACTTTGTCATCGCAGCCAATAGCAATACCAAAAAAGTGACAAGATTTGTCAAATAAATCAGACTAAATTATTTGTTTGTTTCCAGTTGTTTATAAAGTGGAAGATTTTTGATAATAACAAGCCTCTCTTCAACAGAAATTCCATCAGAGCAATAGTTTATATTTATTTTTGATTTTACCATTTGCAGTAATTTTTCAAATACTGGAACCTGCATCCCGGTATATTTAAAAAACTGTTGGGTATCCCAGTTTTTCATATTTTTATAATAATTAAAATTTCCTCTTGTCTTTCTGTTCTGGTTAATTGGCCTCCGTTTGTATCGACGTTGTCTCTTATTTCGAAGGGTCAGTGCTGCTCGAATACAACGTATTAGTGCCACTGCACCTAACAAAGGCCGAGCATTTTCATTTTCCATTGTATTAATTTTCAAGCAAAAGTAATAATACCAAATCAAAAATGTAACATTAGAAATTTAAATGTGATCTTTAACACCAAACGAAAGTTTATAAATGCAGTCTATGATAGCCAGCGCAAAGATCAACGGCGAACGCCAGCGCCAACGTTAAGTTTATAAATTAGCCTTTTTACCCATTTTAGTTAAAAAGATATATTTTAGATCAAAGCCGAAAGTTCATTAGTGGCCTGCAGCAAGAAGTTAAAAAATCTTAAACTTTTCATATATTTGAAATATAAAGAGAATTTTTACTCTGAAATAAAAGTAATTGCCTGTTTTATAAGGAAAATTATGCTTTGTTATGATGGCATCGCTGTTGGAGTTGTATTGGTAAATGACTTTCAGCTGAGAGAAATCTGCACATTTCATCCAACAAAAACTTTGCCTGAACCTGTAAGTATGAAAATAATATTATATCTTACTTTATTGCTTTAAATATTGCTATGAATATATTATAAACAAAACACAAATTATTTTATGCCCACAAAACAATAACTTGTGTTAAGAAAACATTTTTTGGGTTATATCAAGTTTTTACAAAAATAATACAATTTTTGTCGCTTTTCGCCCCTCAGTACACAACAGCGATCGTGTTTTTTGTCTTTTAACTTAAAGTTGTGTATTTTGAATTAGATCCTAAATTATATAAATATACATATTTGATTACTATCAGAATTGTTGTTAGTTTCAGTAATAATTTGTAACAGGTTGATGGGTTTCAATGTTAAATCTAATGTTTTCTCGAGGATCTGTCTTATTGAATGAATCTGGTGAATTGTTGATTTTTCTGGAGTAAATCCGCCTAGTATTTTCCAATTATGCCAACTTATAGCCATTCGTAGAGAATATTTACTAGTATTTTGTAAGCAATTGGTTATACCTCTGTAGTTGTCACACTGGAACTGAGCGCCTTTTTTATGTAACGGGCCTTGAGACTATGGTCTCATTTTGACAGACAAGAAGTAAACGTTTATGCAGTGCTTGTCGCAGATCGTCACCGCCAGTCTTATAGAGCTTACTACAAATTTGATCATTTCTATTGCTTTACTTTTAAGCTTTTTAATGACTTGGGCAACCTCTTCAGTGGTAGGTGGTCTTTCGTTCTGCTACGGAGTTACCTGCTTCTTCGATATAACGACTGTTAAATTGTGTGTCGAAAAATTCAACACATCGGTTCAAGATTGAGGCTAGGATATTTCCTTCTCCATCCTTACAGCTTTCTATTTTACTCATTTTGTTACACTTCTGCAGAACTTTCTAGTTTCGATTTGATTTCTTAGCCATTCTATGCTTTTTAAAGAGCCAACCATTACACTTGCACCAGCGTAACATTTAGCAATAAATTATTTTTGTAATCATATGACTCAAGAACATTTGTAATTAAATTATAGAGAGCACCAGCAGATAGATTTTCGCTAATATCAAAAAACCCCAAAAATCTTTGTTTTTCTTCCCTTCTTAGGGTCCGGTGTTCATCCCTTTGCTCTACTTATGAATCTAGCTTGATTTGTCTTTAGGTATGCTCTATTTTTATTATCTGTTGCTTCTTGGTACTCCGCGTCAAACCATAAGTTTTGTTTAACTGATTTGGCTTTCCTTAATACTTCCGATGCCTTCTCAGTTATTATGTTTTTAATTTTATCCAGAATTCCACTCCATTCTTTCCTCTTTTTCTACTGTGGATGATTACGTCCTTGTCTCCCGTTGGCATTATTTCAATTTTATAATTAATTTTATATACTGCTTCGGGGCATTCTTCTTCAGTATAATTTATAAATTCTTGTCATTATCTTATCTAATAGTAACGATTTCCACTTCTATTTTTATTCTTTATCTTCTATTCCTTTCTTCTTTATGTACTACTTCTTGATTTTTTGTTTTTTTTTTGTATTCGTGTATACTTCATCTAATTTACTTACCGTTGCACTTTATTATCATTAACAGAGATCGAAGTTGACATAGTTGCCAAAGAATAAAAAAATACTAACTCCATTTTAAATCAAATAGGTCACATAATTATTGCAAAAGTGGATTATACAACAAAACAAACTAATATTACACACGCTAATAATAATAGTAATTAATAATACACACTAATTTTGTTCAAAAACAGATTTTATTAAATAGGTAAAAATATAAACCAAGAGGTATTCACTTTAAAATTCAAAATAATAAAGTACAAAAAGTTTCAACACCGCAACTGCCAAATACGTGTTACCAACAAATGTTCCGAACAAATGTTCTTCATAAAAACGCTTTATTATGCATTTATACAAAATAAATGAAACATGTTATTGTGTATTTCTTTAAGTTAACATTAATAGAAATCTTTAAATTATTTCTACGCGTATATTATAATAAAATATGTCTAGTGGCTGTAATGGCAGTGTACTCAGTAAAGTGATTCTAAAAAAGAACACACCTACCGCCTAAATATTACGTTTTGGTATCAAGTGACCTCACGAGCTATGATGAGGATGACGTGCAACGGTAAGTAAATTAGATGAAGTATAGTTTTCCGTGCAATCGTTTAGATGATTTATATGGTTTTTGTATCATCTTTTTCAGCTCTATTTTTGTATTGGCAACTTTTAAGAATACAACTAACAAAGTAAAAGCACTTTTATTAATTAAACTATAACTGAACAAAGATTGATAATATTTATATGAAATTAGTCGATGACGACCTTTCTGTGATTTATGTTGAAACTGTTGATCGACTGGGTTATTGGACTTCAATATTGCTGGCGTACGGGCTTATTGTAGCGTAATTTCTCCATCCCCTCACGAAGTTTTCTGAGCGATCAACAAAACTGTGTGTACAGCTTCTGGGGCCTCTTGACTTTGGTCAGTGATGTTTACTGCTATGGTGTGATTCTGCTCATGTTTTCTTTTTTAGTTTTTCGCAACTTGAGAAAAACAAAAATTAAAAAGATGCGACCAGGATATATATTGCTAATGTTCATATGTAGCTTTGATCCATTTTTGTTGGGAGGATGGACTGGAATCTTTCTTCTTCTTGTGTTAACTTGTCATCATCATGCAATCTTCGCTTGTCAACTGCTGGACATAGATCTCCCCCATAATTTTCTATCTTGTGCCTCTTGCATCAAATTCCTATGGCAACGTTTTAGATCATCAGTCTAACGTGTCGGTGGACTACCTCTCCTTCGGTAATAATTATTTGTAGTAAGTCATAGGTTTGACTATTAAGTGTTCCTTTGAAAGAGTAGTAATCTTGACTTTTGGTAATTTTATTGGTTTTTCTTTAATTATCTTGGGACTAGTATATATTTCATTATTAGTCCGTAGTTCACATGCTGGTGGTAACTCAATTAGATTTTCTAGGACTTATTCAATGGTGGTCAATAGTTATATACTTTTGTAGTTTTTGGGAAAGCAGCAATGTAGTGTGGCATCTGGTACATTTTGGATGATCGTTGTAGTGACGGTAACAGGAACTTTGGCAATGAACAGCATCATTGGAGAATTTGTATGAAGCAGTGATTAGTCTGGTTGTTTTCTTGTTTCAATTTTTCAGGACGGATGAATGTTTTTAATTTGCTTCTTTTACATGATATACCTACTGGAAAAGTGAGTTGTATGCTAGGCATGAACCAGGTGGAATGCTTATGGTATGATTATTAGTTGTGAGTGGGTATGAGAGGAAATACGTGAACGACTTGGAATGTAGTATAGGGAAATGTAAAAAAAATCGTGTGATTAATGTATCAATGTTCATAATTTCGAATATTTGGTTAGGTCTTCTTCATGAATATAGGGAATCTTTGATGTAGTGTGGCCTTCAAGTATCGTTTGCACAGTCCATTTTATTTCTTCAGGTATGGTGAGACCAATGGTAAAGTTTTGGGGCTTGCAAATGTAATTGCTGTTTGTAACTCGTCAAGTATTTGTATCAAATTGTAAATCAAACTGGTTCATATCTAATTTAATTCTATTTGTCTCTTCGGCCACTATTTTTTGATTGTGTAATGAAATAGTTTGGTTAAAATTGGTCATTATTCCTTTATTGAGGCTGAGTTGGCTATTTGGGTTGGTAATAATATTATGTTGATTATTTTTAAGTGACTTAATGGAAGCGTTATATCTTTCTGTATCTTCTTGATCTAGATTATCAGACATAATTATATTTTATTACAGTTTTATATGTACTGTGCAGTTTTATAAGCATATAAAATATGGTTGACTGAGTCCATTTTCTATTGGTTTGTTGATAGTACTATACGGAGATTCTATGGATTTAATTTCTTCTGCAATTGGTTCTAGATGGAAATAGTTGATGAAGTCGTGAGAACTGGTCTGTATTGTCGCTTTTCCAAGTTTAA